AGGTTTTTATGTAAGGTGCGACGCTTACAGGCGGCTTTCTAAAAATAAAACGTCATTAATTTGCAAAACCTATCTGAAAATTACGCTGGGCTCTAATGGATTACGCCAGTTAATTCATTAAAGGAGCCGGCAAGCCAGTCCCATGGATTTTTCCGTGCCGCGACACGCAACGCGCGTCACTTGACCGCAAGGGAGGACAGCTAATCCATTGCGCAATGGAAATCGGAGGCGGGTGCGTAGAAAATCCTGGTTTTTCCGCCCCTTTAAAGCTTCGCCATGGTTCAAAGGGGAGGCCCAACTCCTCGTAAAGGTTGTATAGAAGGTTTCTAAGAACCAAAAGATGAATAGAAAAGGTTAAATGACTCAAAATAGATCCCGGAATCCGGAAAAGTTTGCATAAATTTGTATCAAGGCCACATCGAGCTGGGTGGTGGGGGCACCGTTTAGTGCGCGAGCCCATAGAGTGGGTTGGGGGAGAGTCAGCTGAGTGAGCACCAGCCCGCAGTGAGGGGAGACTGACTGGCTGGGTGGGTCTGGAAGGACTGGAACGAGAAGCCCTGAGGGGGGCGGGGAGGACGAGGAGGAGGAGGAGATGGGACAGGACTGCTTGGGACAGCCCCGAGGGGGGACAAAGGGATCGACAGACAAACAGACACACAGACACACACAACCACCGTAGCCCCGAAGAGAAGAGGCCGTCACACTACGGGGGGCCCGACTACTCGCGTACTCTGTACAGGGGCGGAAGGTCGAGCTGGGGAATTGGATCGGCCAAAACAACAGCAGGGAAAACGGTTATCAGGGGCCAAAATAGGCTGGGGATGCGCGCCGGCCAGTGGAATGACGCATAGCTCAAACAGAAAACGGTATTTTTAATGGGGTTAAGAAGTCTGGCTCAGCTTAGGCTTATGCTTAGGCTTAGGCTTAGCCTAGGCTCTATCTCTATCTCTCTCTCTCTCTCTCTCTCTCTCTCTCTGCTTTTGTCTGTCCCGAACGCGAATCTTGGCTTTCTTGCCCCTTTAAAAGGGGGGTGAAAGAAGCCCAGAAGCGAAAACACAAACTGCAGAAAAGGCATGCCTTTTGGCTGAAGCCCGGCCACCTTCGATTCTGGCCCGGCACCCCCGAATGAGGCCAAACAGTGGATTGATAGAGGGGAGGGAGGGAGAGAAGAAGAAGGGGTGACCCTTCACTTATCAATGAATGGCCCCCTCCTCAACTAGGGCCCTCGGAATCGAAGGGGGAACAGAAGATAAGGGACACCAGGAGACTGTCTACAGGGTCTTCTTGGCCACTACATTGCGAGAGAATCAGAGAGAGACAGCTGGAGAAAGAGACAAATGGTCTCACTCAGCTTGCCTCGAAACGGGCGAGAGCCGGAGAGTGTGAGAGTGAGAGAGAGAGCAATTCACAAATGGTTTCTGCCAGTCTGCCTGAAAGAGGGAGAGAGAGAGAGAGAGAGAGAGAGAGAGAGAGAGATAAACAGAGAGTGGGAGAGCGGGAGGGTCCGCGCAGGAAAGAGGGAGAGATAGCACGATCGAGGGAACGAGAGAAATGGATAAAGAGGAAGGTCTAAAGAGATTAGGTGAGAGAGAGAGAGAGAGAGAGAGAGGGAGAGAGAGAAAAAGAGAGAGAGAGATATAAACAGAGAGAGATAGAAAGAGAGAGAGAGAGAGAGATAGAGCGAGAGACGAATGCCAGAAAGTCCTTAGTTTCCGTTAAGATTCGAACCCAATACATCCCAAAAATAGGCCACACCACCCCCTTCCCCAGCCATTTGATGGCCCTACCCCCAGGGGTCACTGAGCCAACGGATTACGGTAGAAAGACGAAGAGACCCAAAGGTGATCGGGGGCTGTTTTGGGACTGTGCATCGGGGGGATGGCCTTGGTTTCGCGGGGGCCTCTACCTGGCCAAATGGGGGAAGGGGGGCGGGTACGATGCGAGAGAGAGAGAGAGAGAGAGAGAGAGAGAGAGACCAGTGAGGACTGACTGGAATGATTTGCTACCAGCCGCCCGGGTCCTCCCACAACTGGGCGGACATGGGCCGAACGAATGACTGGACATGTACGGGGGTTGGGGTATTCATGGAGGCATGGCTTAGCCTTAGGCTTAGGCTTCGTTTGAGGTCCGAAAATAGGCTTAGCTTTGCCTAAGCTTGAGCTTGAGCTTAGGCCTATAACTGGGCTTAGCTCTAGGCTTAACCATAGGCTTGTGTCGGGTAGGCACAAGTCGGTGCTTGAGCCTAGACTTTGCGTAGGCTTAGGCTTGGGGGTGGCTTAGGCTTAGGCTTAGACACGGGTTTGACTTAGGCTTAAGCTTGGGCTTAGCTTCCGCTCGGCTTAGGCTTGCGTAGGCTTAGACTTATACTTAAGCTTAAGACTAGGCTTAAGTCAGGTAGGCTTCCGTTTAGGCGTAGACTTGGCCCAGGGCTCAGGCTTGGCCCGCCATTTGACTCGACGATTCTACCGTAATGGATATATTCCTGCGTACAGGGCCGTCAATCGCCAGGGCCCCACTCATCTCTTCTCCTTCTACTCCTCCCCCGGCCCCAAACTATTTTATCGATCTCCTCTCCTGCCACTCCCCGCACCTGATCAGGGCCCGCGTCCCTGAAAAATTTGAGAGATTTCTCACCCCCGCGACCCCCCGAGGATGGGCCGTAAACAGTCTTCGGGTGGAGAATGGGGAGCGGGGGGTCGTAGAATTGAAGGCCTTTCAGGGCCAAGTCAATATTTTGAAACCTAACAAGCTAGAGCGCTTATTAGTGGTTCTTGATCTTTACAAAAAGTTGAGAGGGCAACCTAGAGGAGAAGATTTAGGAAATCAGGCTAAAGGGGCCCGAATTAGGCCGCTTCCCAAAGCCCGTAAAAAGTCATCGCTGAAAAACGGTCGAAAAGAAAGAAATAGCCGGAAAAAAAGCAAAAACGCAACTTTATTTAAGGTTATTAAAAATGCGAACAGGCCGACATCGCAAAAAATGTTTTCAAAACTTCTGAGGAGCCGAAAGTTCGGGGAGCGGTGAGGAAAACATCAAGAAGTTCTAAAGTTTACGTTAAGTTGACTTCGCAAATTGGCCTAGGCTTAAATAGCTTAGGCTTAGGCTTAAGTTTAGGCTTAAGCTTGGGCTTACTAGGGAAGTATCTGAACTTGCCATCGAACTTTGAGAAGCCAGATACACCATTCGACGCGCCGTGACAAGAGGATTCCAAATATGTAATAAAATCAACGGAGGCGCATAACGGGGAAAAGTTATGAGGCTTCAAAGTCGGCAAAATGACGAAAAACAGCATCTTTGAGTTTCTCACGGCACGTCGAATGGTGTATCTGGCTTCTCAAAGTTCGATGGCAAGTTCAGATACTTCCCTAGTTAGGTTTCTGTTTAGGCTTAAGCTTAGGCTCGGCTTGGGCTTAAAATTAGGCATAGGCTCCGCGTGAGCTCAGGCTTAGACTTAAGCTTAGGCTTAGCTTTGGTTTGGCTTAGGCTTAGGCTTGGCTTAGGCTTGGGCGTAGGTTTCGGCTTAGGCTTGGTCTTGGACTTAGGTCAGACTTTGGCTTAAGCTTAGACCTCTTAAGCTAGCGCTAGGCTAGGTTTACAAAAACGATCACAACCCCAGACTCCCCAACCGCCCCTTACAAATCTGGGCCCTTGGACCCTAAATGGGTTCCCCAGGAATGAATGGGATATATGGCCCAAAAAGGGGATGGTGGCCTTGAGGTGAGGGGAGGGCCCATTCGGACCATCCATGCATCCACCTACCCAAGGCCATTGGGGCCCATCCTTTGATCTGGCACACACAACAACAAGAGGAGGATGGCCCCTTCACCTTTATCTCTCTCTCTCTCTCTCTCTCTCTCTCTCTCTCTCTCTCTCGCATACCAATACAATACATGATCGTCGCGCGCGTCCCTCAGCTCCAAATTGGTGCACAGAGAGAGGCCGCCCCTAAATGACGCCCCGGTGAGGGGATGGTATTTAGGGATGGATAGGGCCCGCCAAGGGGTGAAGGGGCCAATTTTGGGCCTTTGGGGCCTAGCGGTAAGTTAAAGGGAGCCAGAACTTGGCTACTACAGTTTGGGGTGCCAGGCGAGAGAAGAGAGAGAGAGATAGCGAGAGAGAGAGAGAGAGAGAGAGAGAGAGAGAGAGAGATGTATATGAGCGTCCCTCCATGGGTCGGTTGCATGTTGTCTGTAGATAGGATCTCCTCGGAGAGCCTCCCTCCAAGGATGGTTGATGATATACGGGGGACCCCGAACGTTCTCATGGGCCAATCGGGTGTATAGGTCGAGATATAGGCGAGATGGGGGGGGGGTCAACGCTTGCGATTTACGCTTTTAAAGGGACCGGCAAGGCAAGCTATGGATTTTGCCATGCCATTTGCCATGACAGGCAACGCGGCTTTACGAGACGCGGCCTTACGTCCCGATAGGGCTAAAACTAATTTGAAGACGCACTTCCTAATCCTAAGCCTAAGCCAAAGGCTAAGCCTAAGCATAACCTAAGCTTAAGCCGAAGCTTGAGCCTAAGCCTGAGCCTGAGCGAAGCTTAACTCTAAGCCTAGGCCTAAGCCTAAACCTAAAACTAAGCCTAGACCTAAGCCTAAGCTAAGCTAAGCCTAAACCTATGCATAAGCTAAGCCGAAACCTAAGCTTAAGCTTAAGCTTAAATCTATTCCGAAACCTGAACCTAAGCCTAATCCTAAGCGTAAGCCTAAGCCTAAGCCGAAGCTGGGCCTAGGCCCTACGATGCGTGTTTTCAACCCAAACTACTACGCAACCCTCCAGAAAAATATTCGATTGATCGTGCTGGGACCCGGGCCCTGGGTTCCCACCAAATATGGGCCCCGAAATATCGGTATTTTGAGCGGGAAACTGGGATGGACGAGTAAAAGAGGAGGTATAGAAATAAAAGCTTTATACTTTAAATTTTAGAAACTAAAAAAATTTAAATTTAAATTTAAAATGTAAAACTTTTTTGACCTAGAACTAGAAAAGTTGCTCACCAGCCATTGGCGCCACATCGCGTTCGTCCACAGCTCCTGGCCCAGCATCGCGTCGGCCAAGGGTTGTTAGGTGCCAATGTGCCGCTAAAAAAAGCATCGATATATAGGAGCGTAAACGTTTTGTCACCTAAATCAACGAGAAAGTACAACAAAAATAAGATAGGCCGAAAAAAATGAGATTTCCTGGTGTTTTTGGTTTAAAAGGCAGTCTTGGAGGCACCCGAACAAGGCTTGGCACAGTTTTTTTCGACCCTATTTTTATGATGCCATCTGAAAGAGCGTGTTTGAATTAGTAGGGTGGCATAGTTTTGAAAGTTTTAAAAGTTAATTTTTGTGGTTTAAATGGGCGTCAAAGTTGCCGACCTCGAAAAACTATCTCGAAAACGTCTGAACCAAATTCGCTGAAAATTTGTGTCAATACCTAATTTGGCATGGGGATCATTTCTCTAATGCATCGCAAAACCCAAAAGTGACCGGCACATGGTTAAATTGCGTACTAAAAACAGTATTTCGACACTTTCGAATTTTGGGACACCTCAGCGCAACTGCAAAATAGCATAGAAAGATGCGCCAAAAAATTCTGCGTCGAATGATGTATTGCTCGTGTTGCGCCCAGGTGTCCCAATATTACTATAACGCGATTTGTGTGCGGAAAATGCAACGAAAACGACCCCTGAAAATACAAAATTGTTAGTTTTGAAAATACAAGACATGAATTTGCATGTAGTCGTCATGCTGAAGCCATTGCAAAAAAGGGCAAAAAGAAATTCGGCTTCTGAGAGGGGGCTGGGATTGAACTGGCGCCAGCTCTGGATTGGCACGCCGACGCTCTCCTCATTGCGCCACAGGGCTCCCAGGCACACGACCCGAGTTCGATTCCACGACATCGAAATAAACCGAATTTCTTTTTGCTCTTTTTTGCAATGGCTTCAGCATGACGACTACATGCAAATTCATGTCTTGTATTTTCAAAACTAACAATTTTGTATTTTCAGGGGTCGTTTTCGTTGCATTTTCCGCACACAAATCGCGTTATAGTAATATTGGGACACCTGGGCGCAACACGAGCAATACATCATTCGACGCAGAATTTTTTGGCGCATCTTTCTATGCTATTTTGCAGTTGCGCTGAGGTGTCCCAAAATTCGAAAGTGTCGAAATACTGTTTTTAGTACGCAATTTAACCATGTGCCGGTCACTTTTGGGTTTTGCGATGCATTAGAGAAATGATCCCCATGCCAAATTAGGTATTGACACAAATTTTCAGCGAATTTGGTTCAGACGTTTTCGAGATAGTTTTTCGAGGTCGGCAACTTTGACGCCCATTTAAACCACAAAAATTAACTTTTAAAACTTTCAAAAACTATGCCACCCTACTAATTCAAACACGCTCTTTCAGATGGCATCATAAAAATAGGGTCGAAAAAAACTGTGCCAAGCCATAATGGGAACAGTTCGAGTGACTGGCGGACGGCCTTTTAACTCCAGAACTCCAGACTCTGCATTCACCTAAAGTAAAGTATCTCGACTCCACATCATCCTACCAAATTGGCAAGTATACCAAAATGCTCGCCAGAGCCTGACGAACATTTTGGTATACTTTACGCTACTGTAAACATACAGGGACCCAAGATACAAAAGTTTCGGACCGGCTGGGCGGGTTATCTGGAGTATCACAGAATTTTCGCACAAAACGCAAGCTGAGAGTGTAATTACGATCAACTAAGCCTACCACACTAAAAAACCAGTTCAGTAGACGAATAAAACGCAACAGAAAGTTTCGAAAACGCGTGTATGGCAAGGACAAAGTGGGGGCCCCGACGGGGGGGGGTTATGAGAAAGATGTGGAGAGGATGATGGGTGGGGTATAAGAGGGGGGAGGAGGATGTTGATCGACAGTTCGATCGAAACAACCCACTGGAAAAAGGTCGGCCATATGGATCAGCTAAGGAGGGTCCTAGTCAGTTTTTCATACTTATAGTGGGCCCGCGCAAGTTATCGAGAGAGAGAGAGAGAGAACGAGAGAGAAAACGAGAGAGAGCGATAGAGAGAGAGAGTGAGTGAGTGAGAGAGTGAGAGTGTGAGAGAAACAGAAAGAGAGACACACACATAGAGAGAGAGAGAGAGAGAGAGAGAGCGGAGAGAAGGAGAGAGAGTGAGCGCGAGAGTGAGAGAAAGAGCGAGAGAGAGAAAGAGAGACAGAGAGATTTCCTATGGATTTTACCATACCCACGACACGCGGGGCGCTTGTACGTAATGACGTACTGGTACGCACTGACACGTTTTTATGGTGCAATGGATTCTGATCGGCATGAGGTGCACGACCAAGCGCTCCGTATCGCTTTCTTTCTCGTATTTTTCCATCGCGTAATGGATTAAAATCCCTGACACCGACCAACCGACATGCGCTTTGCGTTGCGGGTCGCGGTGCTTCAAAAGCCATAGAAATTCAAAGCCAAGAAAATTGATCGTAAAGCCTGTACCTTCGCTTTCAAGGGATAGCGACACTCAGAGAAATGTAGGTGAAAACATATCTGCAAAAAACGCACAGAATCACACTGTACAAAGGCGCCTCTCGTAGTTAAGGTTCGAAAAGCCTGAGGTCCGAAACATTTTCGCTATAACTTTTGTACTTTACATTATTTCGAACCGTAATTAAAACTTTTATTATAATTTTTGATGCTCTATCGAATGGCCGGACGAAAATCCCGATAAAACAGCGGAAATGTCGAAAAATTTTGGGATCCCGGCCCGGGAGAGGGAAAATGTCAATTTTAGCAAAAATCGCAGCACGGGATCTAGGCTGTTCCCCAAAATCTCTAAAATCCATGAATACCGTCAGAGTATAGTAACGTACAGGGAGAGATGAAGCAGGCAGTCGTCGGGCGGAGATGGGGCCCTGTAGAAGGAGATGTGGCCTATTGTGCGTGTATCGGGGAAAGGGGGGAGGAGGGCGGTGTGCGTCTCCTTGCGGGGCCGAATGATGCGTCATGGGACCATCTACCCCCTCCATCCCTCTCGCTTTTCCTTGCTTCTCCTCAACACATACCAACCAACACCGTTACTCTCTATCTCTCGCTCTTTCTCAGTCTCTCTCTTTCTCTTTTTCTCTCGCTCTCTCTCTCTCTCTCTCTCTCTCTCCTTCACTCTGATATTTTCGTGCAAACGGCCCCGACCAGCGAATGCCCCGAATTTATTAGTCGGCCCCGATCGGTGTTGGGGCCCGGGCCCGAAGCGGTCAGCAGGGTCTGGCTGGATTTCAAGAAATCACTAGACTACGCGACGCTCCTATAGACGCAGCTCCATGACCGCTACACGTAAGCGCCGCTTGACCGCCGCGAAGAGACCTTACGTCGTACGATTATAGGTCCCGTTACATTACGCAATGTAAAGCGAGCGTGTGCTCGTCTTTCCAGCGCGTAATCGATTGACTTATACCTGCTTATCCCTTTAAAAGCGAGCGTGTCCGTCGCGTCTAGCGGCTCAAAATCCATACTCATTCCTTGCCCCGCCCTTTAATTTACCGTAAGCTCTAGCAAGTTCCGATGAGCTACTCATTACGGCCGAATACTCCTCCCATCACTCAAGAATTGCCCTTTTAGGGGAAGGGGCAATGATGGATCCGATCGGGTTGGTGGGTGGGAGAGGTGAAGAAGCTGGCCAATTAGTCAACCCCCCTTCCCCCGGGAGAGAAGGGACCATATTTAGGATGGAAACGGACAGCAGCCCCAAAAAGGGTCAGCCCCGAGACGATCGATCCCTGAATCAGGGCCTAGCAGGGGAGGATTGGCACAAATTATTGTGATTGATGGGGGGCTGGGGTCCATGAACTTTTGGAATACGAGTTTCTAGTAAGGATAGTGGGGAGGAAAGGAGATAGAGAGAGAGAGAGAGAGAGAGAGAGAGAGAGAGAGAGACGGAGAACGAGAACGAGATAGAGAACGAGTAAAAGAGAGAGATTGAGAGAGAACGAGAGAGTGAGGGAGAGAGGGCGTCGGTAATGGATTAGGCCCCTGGCGCGGAAAAGTCGCTAGGGAATCCATAGCCTTGCCTTGTCAGCCCCTTTAAAGTGATCGTGAAGTGCAGTAATCGACGTCTTTCGATGCCTAGATCTCGACAACGACAAATCACGCCAAAGTCAATCGTAACCTAGTGAAAACCAAGCAAAAAATAGCACTATACTTTCGAGTCTAAAGTCCAAAAGCTGCCAGCGCGCAGGGCTTGGAGTCTGGGAGGGGGTGGGGAGGCAGAGAAAAGCTGCTCATCCCCCTCAAGGTCGACAGGACGGGCTGAAAACTGGAAAAACACTCTTGCGTACAAGGAGCTTGTTGCCAGCCCCGGAGTGACGTGTGGCAGAGATTAGGCGATGAAATTAAGGAATTCCAGCTTTCTTTCACGAGAGAGCGAGAGAGCGAGAGAGAGAGAGAGAGAGAGAGAGGGCGAGAGAGAGTGAGATATTGTATGACTCAACAGAAATTAACCAACAAAAACAAGTAAGTTCTTCATTTCGAAACCTAGCTAAATCCGTAAAGTATCCCATAGATTTTCACCTTCGTAGATCCACCCTCAAAATGTGCGAAAAATCGGCGATTCGGCGATTATTTATGCAGGCGCGTCAAAGGAGAGGTGGGCACATATCGATCTGAAAGAAAGGGCCCGCGATCGGGTGGGCCCATTTTTAAATTAAAAAATGCGCTTTTTCGGACCATTGAAACAGAGCTTTTACCGAAGTATTGCGATATTTTTGGATGTTTCGGCTCTGTGGTTTTTTTAATACAAATTTTTTTGTGCGACAACATTCCATATTAGCGCTGCGGTCTATTCCGCTAAGCTACTGATAGCGCTTGATTATTGTAACCATAATTTAGTTTTAAATGCCCCCAAATTCGGTTTGGTGCATTGGTAAAGTGCTCGCTTGCGGATCTCACGGTCCTGGTTCGACTCCGCTCCAAAACGAAATTTTTTTGATGTTTGACGATGAGGCTCGAGATCATCATCCTCATGGTGGTATTTATTTCTAATTCATTTTCTAACTAATTCGACGAGTCATATCAATTTTAATTCCAGCGGCTGGCAGCCAGGGTAGTATGTCTCAATTCTTCAGAGCAGACTTGATTTCCCGAATGTGCCCGGAGGGGATGTGGATCGGATCGGAGCCTTGGACAGAGGATGAGAGAGAGAGAGAGAGAGAGAGAGCGAGTGAGAAATCTCCGTACAGGCCCTTCCGTAGAGCGGGCCAGAGCGGGTTCCTCCCCTCTTTCCATCCATCCCCCCTCTAAAGGAATGGCCGACTTTTCCCCCGAGGACCGGCCAGGACGGCCTTTTATATGTAGGGAATAGCCACCCATAGCCCCACACCCACAACCACTACGAGGCCATCCTCGCAACAGGGCAGGGGACAGTGGCGTAATTCGGAGGAGAGGGACCAACAAAATATTTTCTATTTTTTTTGCATACAGAACGAGACAGCTTCCCTAACTTCCGAATTCCTAAGAAATCTCTGCCAGCTGGCTTATCGAGATTTTTAAGGGACGGTGCCAGCTAGATTATTATACGCATTCTGAAGCATAAAAAAATTCGTAAATAACCTTCGCTACCTGACCCAGCCTTCCTCACCAACAAAATACACGTCATTTCCTAAGATTCCGGACGACGGTCTTCCAACTTCTAGCTTCCTAATGCCTTAAGAACCTCTGCTGGCCTGCCCGCCGATAGCTTTAAAGGGATGGTACCAGCAAGCTTTTGGGCATTTTCTACCGAGCCCAGCCTTCAAAATTTCATTTCAGAAAAAACTCTGCTAGCCTCTACAAAAATTGAATGGATTGTGTCAAAAAAGGTTTTTCGAATTTTTTGGTTTTCGAAATTTTTCGAATCCGATTCCGCAATGAATCTCTGCTAGCTGGCCGGTGGGAGTTTTGAAAGGGATGGCCGCGGCATCTCTTCTGTCGCTTTCCCTTAAACATCGTTTTCCTAAAGAATCTCTGCGAATTTCCCCGGAAACTGGAGTCAAACGTTAAGATGAGCGTGTGCGTTGCGTGTCGCGGTCCATGGTCATAAATCTTTAGTGTTGGCTTGCCGGTTCCTTTAATAGCCGTATATCGTGTCTTCACCCAACGGTCCTCAAGAGATGTGTAAGGTGTCGGGAAGAGTGATTGTTTATGCAGAGTGGAAGGGGGTGGATAGATGCCCCCCGTGGTACCCTGTACCCTCTATAAAGAGAGAGACAGAAAGAGAAATCGGGCCAAGGACGGTATCCAAGTTCCGTGGAAAGAGACATTGTGGCCAATAATAAAGCGAGGGGACTCGAAGCAAATATGCAACATTTTGCCGGAGAAATTCTGAATCTTGCCGGTGCTTTGGCATTAACGGGGGGGGGACTTTATACTTAGACTCCAATTCCTACCCCTAAACGAAATCCGCTTTAAAAAAATATATCGGTTTTGGGGCACAACGGCCGGTTTTTACAAAATTACGATATTTACCAAGTTTTGAAAGCTTGTCAGATTAGCTTAGGCTTAGGCTTGAGCTTAAGTTTGGACTTGGCTGAGGGTTATGGCTAGGCTTAGGGCTTGGGCTTAGACGTAGGCTTAGGTTCGGACTTAGCCTTGGCTTAGCGCTTAGGACTAGGGCTTGGGCTGAAGACCTAGGCTTAGGAGGCTTAGGTTCAGCACTTAGGCTTAGGCTTAGGGATTACGCATCAGGCTTAGGCTTAGGCTTAGGGCTTAGGCTTCGGCTTAGGGCTTAGGCTTAGCGAGCACGCATAAGGCTTAGGCTTAGGCTTAGGCTTTCAAATCGTCGACAAAATCGTTGCTATGCGACTCTTTTTACAAAAGATATAGCTATTTTCCATCTCACCCTGGAAAATTTCTAGTATTTATCGTAGTTTGGTCCATTTGGAAGTACTTTTCATGTTCGCTTCTACAGTATGATTCACAATCCATGTTGTTTCACCTTTATAACATATTTTCCCGCGACGATTTAACCGTAAAAATCGCTCTGTTCCCTGCCATAATTTTGTCGCCGTGATCTCGATGATCACTTTCCGATCTCACGCTCATTAAATCGGGGTGGACAAAGTGTCTGGGTCGAACTAAACTCTTCAAAGTTCCATTTAAACCCTGAAAAAATTTCTGAAAAATGGTCTCGTTCGACAATAAAAGTTTATTGGAGATTAATTCGGAGCAATTGGAGGATAAAATTGTGATTTATACAGCCACCGCCATTTGGGTCGTTATTTTAATTCTAGGTCTGATTACTGTAAACCTATTTTTGTATGTATTATATCGAGGGAGGAAGACGTTTGTTGAGGTGAGTTAATGCCTATTTGTGGTGCTTTTGCATTATCAGGGGGGGGGTACGGAGGATCAGCGGTTTTCCTTAAGATACAATTTTTCTAATTTAACTAAAGTTTTCTAAGCCTCTTTTACGAGTCCTAAGCGCCAAAAACCAAAGCCCAAACCAAGAGTTTTTAATAAAAAAAATACAAAAATTGTCATCTTTTGATAAAAATCGCTTATTTTGAGCAAAATTTCAATTTAATCGTCTTTTCTAAGTTTTTTTAGCTAGTTTTTTTTCACTTGTAATATAGTTAAATTGATTAAAAATGATATTAAGACACTTACTTTTAAAGCTGGGCATTTCTGGCTTCCTAGGAAAAATTCGATTCCCTCCCCCCCCCGATAATGCAAAAGAGCCAATCATGTTACAGTACCCCTTTTTCCTGATCGTCCGTCACCTGGTGATCATCAACAATATACACCTGCTTGCCCAGGTGAGCCAACCCTGTCGCCACCCCTTTAAAACCAAATTTGAGGCGACCCTGGTGCTCCCATTAATGGTGATCGTCTACACCGAGGAGACGAACGGGATCTTTTATCTCTGGAGTACAATTGGGACGCAAGTCACAAAGTTCACCGGTGAGGACGCCTGCCTTTAAAGGGACGCGCAAGCAAAGAATTGCTTATGGAATTCTTTCCGTGACGCGATGCGCAACGCTCGGTTGTGTTAACATGACGTAATGGGTTAAAACGGCTGTTCCTTTAGAATCAATGCGAAACCGATGGGAAAATTGCGTAATCATGCCTTGTCTGCCCCTTTAAAAAATGGGTAATTCCAAAAAGCTCCCCTTGATCAATTAGGTCTCAACAGCTAAGTAGCAGGCCTAAATACAGGCTTCGTACCTGGGATTGGCGGCGACTATTTCGTCATTTGGCACATGTTGGAGCTGTCGAGACCCAGTCGACTCTAGGCGTCGAATTTGGCCCTTTTTGGCCCTTTAAGACCAAAATTAGCGATGCTTTTCTACAGAAGAAGCCGTCGTCTATTTCACCCTATTAATGGCCATGAATCGGCTGTCGATATTTGTCTTGCCAAGATTTGTCGTGTATTTTGAGGGGTAATTTACGGTTTAGAATCATTTAATAGACCTTCCTTCCAGCACTAAACTACGCATTACAATCTGGACAACTTGGGGCTTTGTTCTGCTCCATGTTGGCGTACGGTTTCTGGTCTCGATGATCATCCTCGGGTTGCCGGAATATAATGATACGCTAACACGATTCCGGGAGCTACTATCGACGGTCAGTTCGGAGCTTTGTTGTTTTCAGATGATTTGGAAAGGAGTTACTCGTTTTATTAATGCGTTTTTCTCAGATCTTCAACTTGTTGGCCTTCATCATTCCTTGTTTCGTATTTTTGATCTATTGCCAGCTCGCCTGGGTGCTACACTCTAGAAGGAAAGATCTACGCGTCAAAAGGTCAAAAACGGAATTGGCATTTCTGAAGCAAGCCGCCGTGATTGCGCTATCATTGGAGGTGAGAGAAAGAGAGAGAGAGAGAGAGAGAGAGAGAGAGAGAGAAAGAGAGAGAGAGAGACAGAGAGAGAGAGAGAGAGAGAGAGAGAGAGAGAGAGAGATTTTATTTCCAGTTCACGCAAACGACATCACAAGTGGCCAAGTACACCCTGCCACTCATCGAAAACGAATGGTTATGGTGGACCCTCAGCCTATTCGACAGTTTCACCACCGTACTCAACCAAATCGTGATGTCCGCTCTATTTCTGACGACAAATCGATTGGTTCGGAGGGTGCGGGATGGAATATTTCACCCAACGCGAGTTGTCGAACATACCGGAAATAGCAGCGTGTCGAAGGCGAGTTGATCTTTTGTAATGTTGCGATGTTCAGGAGAATTCCGTAAACCATGGCATCGAAAATTTACCCCGGAAAGTCCGGTCTAGCCCACACCAAAATTTAAACGATAAAATCCCGAAAATCTCGATAAATAGGAATTTCGGCATTATGAAATTTCGACATGTTGAAAATAGGCTTTCGTTTCTGAATATCGAAAAATGCCGACACCTTGAAAAAGCCTATTTTTTTCCCTACTCTCATCATTTTTAATTCTGTTTGATGCTTTCATCAGCGCTTCGCTTTATCCCATTAATACGTAATTATTCGCAGAAAATAATACCTCATGTTGGGATTTGAAAGTTCGAAAACCTGCTACGCTCAATTTCCCCACGTCAATCGCTAAAGTCAGGGATATTCCCGTGGATTTTCCGGCGATTGTTTTCGCGTCAAACAGCTACGCCATAAAATTCCGAACCGTTAAAATGTGGATATTTATAGAAAACGGACCGGCAACAAAACGAGGCGGCCTCGCAGACGAGATCTACGACAAAAATCACGCATCGATGAGACGAATAAATGATAAAAATTTGCTTCTCGAAGGGCACAGACGGGCATTCGATCCTTTTTTACTAGGGGAGCCCTGATAAACCAGGACACAGAATTGGCTGAAAATTTACACACAGATAGAATCGATGATGCTGTTCATCAACTCGTTTTCCGAACTTGTTATTGATCTTTTAAACGCGAGATATGCCACTTGGGGATGCCGACGGCACTGTCAATCGGTTAAGCGCTGGAAAGAAAATGTATCTGCGCCTCTCCCCAGGGCGCGCTCTCTGCCCCGTTGGCTACTTGCCAATTTGTTGGTGGGGGGGGGGATCGACACATGCCGTCAGCAGCCCTTTAAAAACTCATTTTGCTATCTAAGAAGTAAATTATTATCTCATTAAATCATACTAAAAAATAAAATCAGAAGACAGTATTCCGTTCGATAAACCTTACGCCCAGGTGTGATGTGGCGCGTCCGGAACCCTGTCACTGCCAAAGCGCGCCCCGGCACACACAAGTCAGAGGGTTTTGAACATCAGTAGCAAATTTGGAGAACGAGGTGCTGATCAGCATGGTAGATTATACAGGGTGCCCCAAAAAAAATCCCCCCCCCCCCCTAGCCGGCCGCAGACCCACCCGATTTTTACGATTTAGGTATCTATCGAAAGCTCTCGGAAAGGCGATGTCGGGACGCCTGGTCGATTTTCGAAATGTCGAAATTTTTTGCTCGATTTTCGGCCTTTTTCAGGCAAAAAGGACTCGCTTTTTTGTCCAAAACGCAATTTAACCGGTTTAAGCGCTATCCAAGCTGTGTTTTCGCAAACGGCTTTCAAAGAGCTGTCGTTGGGCTGCCAGGAAAGGCATAAAAAATCTTAAATTGCGATTTTTGTAAAAAACGTCTTCTCAGAAAAACATCAGAAAATCCGCGCTTTTCGCAAAAAAACATTAGTAAATGATAAAAAAATTTCGACATTTCGAAAATCGACCAGGCGTCCCGACATCGCCTTTCCGAGAGCTTTCGATATAGATACCTAAATCGTAAAAATCGGGTGGGTCTGCGGCCGGCTAGGGGGGATTTTTTGGGACACCCTTCTCTGTGCGCTAGCGCTTGGATATTTGAAGACAATGCTCGTATCGGCTGGCAGATCGCGGCCTCGGTTTTTCCATACAAACAATTTCTTTTTTTCTCCTTTGAACTCTGACCAAATAGCCCCTCGGGCTCGCATAAAGTGCCAGCTGTTTATTCCGCATGTTAAACACCGGGGAAACGACGGGAGAAAAGAGTGATACCCGTAACAATATATCGTGTGCACAATTCAATCGAGAACAAAAAAAAAAGACATAAATCAATGACAGGTCAGCGAGCCGTAGACAGAGTTAACGGAATTTCCGGGTAAGTCTTCTACTGTTCCGTCACATTCTTCGGGTGGGCAACTGGAACTGGAGGAGTTGTCGCGGCTTGCTGGCTCGACGCGGGGCCGCCGATCATTGGAGCTGAAATTGTATTGTTATCCGAAGGCCTGCGAATTCACTAACTTTTCGGCAGCGGATCCGTCACGTTCGTCGGGGTGCTGGCCGCAGGGCAGGAAGGTTGAGCCGATGCTGCGGAATCTAGAAGCATCATAACTGGCTTTTAAAAGGCATGATACCTGGCGTTGCAGGCGGGGCGTCATCGACAGATGTCGGTGGGGGTGGTGGTGGACGCCAAATCATGGCATTTGGCTGGATGGTGATGCCGGAAATCGAAACGGCATCTCGGGGCCCCTATAACAATAGTTAAAAACAATATTGAAACGCATACGCTATTTACCAAAAAATTTACCAACCTCATTCTCAGCCTTCTCGCCGTCACGCTGCACGCCTCCTTGCCCTTCTTCTTACTCCTCGTCTGTCTGCGCCGTCGGCTCCTCGGGAGACGATTGATTGCTCGATTCGTCTTCCTCCTCCTCTTCATCCCCTTCAGAACTCCCGTCATCCGTGCCATTGCTTCAGTTTTCTTCCTCTTCACCGTCATCTCCCACAAGACCAGCTTCCTCTACTGCTCTCGGCTCCCCCATGTTCGACTGCTTCTCGATGTCTATCAGGCGGTGCACCTAAAATGAGGTTCCGATGAGATCAACTTTCAAGCTACTCTAGTCAACATCACTTCCAGCTTGCTGCCCAGGTCGGCGACGCAGAACTGCAACTCCTCGGCGGTGATGGTGGGCTTTCTGCCTCGCTAAAAGTCGGAGCATAATGTAGTATGTTTATTCCGATACCAACATGGCCGCCTGGCTTGCAACCATCATCTGATGCAGCCTTTTCGTCTAAAAACGTCAATTAGCGGTTTGATAGGCATAGCTCACATTGTAAAGGAACGGTGTTAGGTTGCTCGTCATGTAGTCGAATGCTTGGTCAAATTGCTCACACGCCGCCGCGTATTCGCGCAGGAGTACCTGAGAAATGAATCAGCCAGTTTCAACGGGATGCATACCTTTTCCTTGCTTGAAGTCATGATGGTGGAGGTCGTTGACCGCTGGTTGCTGAAGTCGAGGATGACCTTGCGAATAGAGATGTTATTATTCAAATAAAATCTGACGATTTGAAAGTTTCGGTTCTATAGCGGTAACCGGGACTTTGTATGAAATCGAGGATTTTGTACGAAATCGGGGTTTTTGTATGAAATCAGGGATTTTAGTTTGGAATCTTCGAAATCGTGGATTTTGACCGAAATCGGGGCTTTTTCCAGAAATCGGGGATTTTTCCCGAAATCGAGGATTTTTTGAAAAACGGAAAATCGGCTCGATTTTGGAGCCGCCGAAATCGGGGATTTTAGAAAGGATTTAAAATTTAAAATTTAAAAAGATTTTTTAAGAATGTTTACGTAGTTAAACATTATAAATTAAACTTTTTATTACTATCGGACAATCGGTCGGGCTAAAAACCCCGACGACGGTGTCGATGCTTTCTTGCTATTCTTTGCAACCTGTGGGGGCGAAACGCACCCCAAAACACACCCCCAAACGCACCCCGAAAGACACCCCGGGGTGCGTTCAAAGGCACCCGGGGACACTATTAATGCACCCCCGACGGCTCCCCGACACTTGCGCCGCGGACACTTGCGCCGCGACACTTGCGCCGCGACATATGCGCCGCGACACTTGCGCCCGACACTTGCGCCGCGGACACTTGCGCCGCGACATTTGCGCCGCGACACTTGCGCCCGACACTTGCGCCGCGGATCGTATATTGATTTAAACTGTAGTGAATTTGG